TCGGGATCATTTCAGTGTTAGAGTTATGTTAGTTTTGATCCGTAATCAGCCCTGCTGACCCCTCCAACATTAGTTGCAGGCAGTGGTAGTTAGATAATGCGGCACTGTAACTACTACTATTTTAGAAGTTGAGGTTACTAGTGTATTAAATAATCTAGGTCCTATTTAGGATTATATCTGAAAAATCCAAATCTGGCCAACGCCCACCCTAAACCTAAACCTGTTCTAATCCACCTGAAATGACTAACGTATGGAAGACTTTGACTACCCAGCCATGCAATAGTCTCATTCCGTGCCTTATGGCAACTTGATGATTCTATTGCGCTCATCTTCTTGCACCACCCAGGGGAGACTTGGTCCTGTACCCAATGCTTAACTTATCTCCTTTCCACTCAGCTACTCGCAATTTTTTGTGATATAGTGGGCGGAATATTATTATATGAGACAATTCAATGCAGACGTCTTTCCAAATTTGGCAGATCGACAGGTAATCGGTGAGTTACCACGATAGTTGCTATTCAACAACTCGACAACGTCCCATCGTCAACTCCTGCTATGAGAATTTCCCATTGCAGACGCCAACGAAATGACGTCATCGAGCTATCGATCAACTACCCTGGTTATCGCCTGGTACCTTATAGCACGATGCTAGGAGGCGAACCGGAAGAATCGATGAGCTATCTCCCCCTAGTAGAGCTATCACCTTCCATCTCAAGGGCTAAAAATGTTTTCATCTATCTATCAGTAAATTTCGCCTGTAATATCTCTGGAGTGCTGCTATCGACTATGTAAAGGTCTTTTAGAGTCAGACATTCATCCAGAAAATCACAAATATTTGTCATTTGTTTGAAGAATTGTAGGCAAAAGTTTATTTCTCGATGATAAATTATAATATCTGTATCAACTTTGGGGGCTTACAACAAGAAACATTCAATAGTGAGGGGATAATTTTATTTCAAGGCATGATTGCGTTTTTCTGGAAGATGATTTTAGGATTATCAGCTGGAATTCCCTATAGTGGGACAAAAGTTCGAGTCAGCGGGGGTTAAATATTTCATTAGCGGTACGTAATCAATGGACGCTGCCTTATTCGAAGAAGGGAATATTTCTGTCTTTATTAAATATTCAATGAAGGGAATATTACTTTCCTAATTAAATATTCGATAAAGAGAAAAGCCCCTTCTATATAATATTTTTTTGAGTAAGAAAAAAAATCGCGAAATGTGACAGACCACAAAATGGTAAGCCCTTCAGTCTCCTACAATCCCTTGATTCATTAGGAAATTTTCATCTTCGTTTTATATAAATGAAAGAAGAAAATTTTATCTCTAAGGTATTCCCTTCTTTAGATCACGTGCTGTTATTTGCATATACCTCACGACGAATGAGAACGGCCCAATTTTAAGCGCAGAAAGTGCAGGAACTCAGCAATGAGTAAATTTGTGTAAATTTTACTCAGTCTAGGAGTATTACCAATAAACTGAGTGAATCCAATCTTTACTTTTCTCATATTCGGTTATTTTTCCTGGACCTGGAAAAACATGAGGCAAATTAACTCATCGCTGAGTTCCTGCACTTTGTGATTTATGAGTTAACTAAACTCAAATTTGGGTCGTTCTCATTTGCCGTGTAAATACATTTTGGGGAAATGTCATAGTCATGTCATTTTAGCTTATACTACATTACCCGAATGAAATTTCCCCGATCGCCATTCATCTAATGTTACAAGAACGAGCAGCAAACAAAAGAAGGCAGAACCTCGTTCGAGGAAGTGACATTCGGTGTAACCCATTATTGTAACCATAAATTGAGTCAGGTTATGTCTCATTCTTCCTCGTAAATTGGGTAATGGCAATGAATCACTAAAGGTTTAAACATAAATTTATTTAAACACTACTCTGAAGTTACGTTTTGTTGTCAATTTAAGATTTGCTACAAAAAAATATGTGATTTTTTATATTCCGGGAAACAGTACGCTCCGGGGAATGGTTTTCCGGGAAACGGTACATCCCGGGAAATGACGTACAATCAATGGTGTTCCTGAGCAAAATATAACGCACTTACGGTTGTTCACTTTCTAATCATACATTCCACATTCTCTTACCTTAAGGGGGTATTCCCAATCTTTTGCCTTTTTTCGGCCTGTTTTTCAATTATTTTTTTTTCAAGGAAAATGAATAGTAATGCGCCTAACTCTTTGGGATTCTTGTTTATTGAACATTAAAGTTTACAAATAAATTTTTTTCGACATAAAAAAAGACATTATTGACGTCACAAAATGGCGGCAAACAGACCCCTGTTAGCCGCAAACGCCTGGACGGGCGAAGACTTTTCTCTGGAACGGCTTCATCTGAAACAGATTTCGTGATGAAATTAATAATCTGCATAAGATTCTCTGGAGCTTCTCCCGTTGGCAGCAAAAAATCTTGCAAATTAACAAAATGGCGGCCATATGAAAAAAACAGGCGATTTTTAGCCCGCTTTTTTGCAGCTTTAAGGTGCTTCAAACAATGTTAAATGTTAATATTTTTGGCTGAAAGTGGGAGAAGCTCCAAAGAATTTAATAAGGAACAAAATGCGCAAAGATTCAAGTCAATATCTCTTATAGTTTCTGAGAAAAATCTTCGCCCGATAAAAAAATGTGGTTTCGAGAAAAACGCGTTTAAAGTTTTGACTTTAGTTAAAACCATTTGGGGGTCCTTAAGGGGGTATTCCCGATCTTTTTTTTCAAAAAATCAAATTTTTTTTTTCACGTTTTTTTTGTACTTTAGACTATATACTTTCATCCCCCCAAGCCGTTTTCCGATCAGCGAATTCGGTGTCCAGGCATAGCTGACTAATGGTAAGAACCCCCAAATGGTTTTAACTAAAGTCAAAACTTTAAACGCGTTTTTCTCGAAACCACATTTTTTTTATCGGGCGAAGATTTTTCTCCGAAACTATAAGAGATATTGACTTGAATCTTTGCGCATTTTGTTCCTTATTAAATTCTTTGGAGCTTCTCCCACTTTCAGCCAAAAATATTAACATTTAACATTGTTTGAAGCACCTTAAAGCTGCAAAAAAGCGGGCTAAAAATCGCCTGTTTTTTTCATATGGCCGCCATTTTGTTAATTTGCAAGATTTTTTGCTGCCAACGGGAGAAGCTCCAGAGAATCTTATGCAGATTATTAATTTCATCACGAAATCTGTTTCAGATGAAGCCGTTCCAGAGAAAAGTCTTCGCCCGTCCAGGCGTGTGCGGCGAACAGGGGTCTGTTTGCCGCCATTTTGTGACGTCAATAATGTCTTTTTTTATGTCGAAAAAAATTTATTTGTAAACTTTAATGTTCAATAAACAAGAATCCCAAAGAGTTAGGCGCATTACTATTCATTTTCCTTGAAAAAAAAATTAATTGAAAAACAGGCCGAAAAAAGGCAAAAGATTGGGAATACCCCCTTAAGGCAGGAAACAAGAACATTGCTTGAGGAATGTTTTGGTATTTTGTCGCCAGGCATAAAGGAAAAAAAGTTTATTGTCCATCTTTGGATCCTGAGATCTTTTGATATATTTGCTGTTAAAAATATGCATTTTAGCAGCTACTACCATCTCTTTGTACAGCATTGAAGAAGATTCTATTCATAAAGGTACATACGTATCTCGTGTTACATCACGTTTACCATATATTCTAGATAGAGCAGGAATTAGGGCGTAACAGCTTTTGTAAACAATGACTTCTATCGATGATTTCTAGGAATTCAAGGCACGTCCACGCATACCAACCTAACCATCGGATAGGGAAAGTCTTTCCCTACCCGATGAGGATGTTGGTTTGAGTGGGTGAGCCTTAAATATCTAGAAATCATCAAGAAAAGTCATTGTTTACAAAAACTGTTAGGCCCTAATTCAAGCTCTATCTAGATATCTATAGATAATACGTCTGGTAGGAAAAACAGGCACATGGACAGTTGAGGGAAGAGGGTGTTAAGAAATGTTTACCGACAGTGAGGGAGGGGTTTAAATACTATCTACAAACCTAGATGAAATGGATGTTTATGGAATTGTCATAATTCTACATTGCAAATTTGAATGCATGCATGGGGTGATTTGATTTCTATCTTGAACCAAATTAAAACCAACATTTTTCATTACTATTTCAGATGATGAAATGTTTTGCTACATAGCCGCTATCTGAGCTGGATCTGATTTAAAAGTTATCACTGCCGTACCCACTTCAAATCACTTCACATTGATACAGACTTATGTGGATCGGTGGACTTATCTGAACAAAGTGAAACAAAAATCCCCACTACACCGGAAACGATAACCTTACACGTCACTTCTGCTCAGTTGTCGGACAAAGTACGAATTATCTCGAATGTAGCAATGCACTTATCATGCCGAACAAATACAATTGTAGTAAAACTCTGCGAAAGTTTAATGAAAATTCTCCAGCAAATAATAGTTTATGAAAGCAAATCATACCATCACGCGAACTGGAAAACAAACTCCAACAAGAGGCACATTTTAAATTCCTATAAACCTCAGTTCCATGCTTTGGCTTTACCTTGAACCAGCAGACGCAAGCCCACGAGTGTAAAAGTAAATGCATTTCGATTACAGAGAAACATGCATTTTCCACTGGCCGCTGCCTTTACAACTACATAGTTACCAGCTCTCTTGCAGCACAAAACGGCAAAGCCCCTCAAGAATTACGACAGCCCGTGACTAATTTTTCTTCGAACGTGTTTACCCGTGACACACTCTACTCAGGAACAATGATCTGGCAAGAGGCTGCAGCACAAAGTACACAGACTTCGTTCGCCATCGCTTTGGGCTCGAGGACACATACCGAAAAGTCGTCGGTCGGTGGTTCATGAACCGTGGGTGCACCGGGGAGAAAAACCGGCTCCCAATGGACTTGTGCGTGTGTTGTTGACGTTGTATGCGCGCGCGGGGGCGGATGGCGGGATGAAAAACAAAAAAAAAAATCCCAATAGAGAGGAAAAACGCCACTCACCTGAAAAACCAAAGCCCAGCCATGGCGAGATTCGATCTCGTTGTATTCCGCTTCGATGCTGTTCGTCCCGCTGCTGCTGCTGTTGTTACTGCTTGAGGTGCTGCTGCTGTTGGTCGTATTGTTGGAACTCATTTTGATTCTCCTATATCCGTTCCGTGGTTCTCTTTCGCCTACGACAGGAAGCGCGTCCTACGAGAACCACCAGACAGACCCACAAGAGGCAATAACCGTCCCTGCTGCACTTGTCGGCGATGGCAAAGGCCAAAGACACTTTTTCAGTTTCAAGATTTTCAACGCGAAAAAAAAAGTATTCCACAGGAGCAAAAATAATAAAGCAACACCCTCTCCAATAACACACGCACACTTTATGCTCTCTTTCCAACCTATTGCTAAAATATTCTTCCACTACAAAATTACTGCTGCTTCTCTTCTTCCACTCCCGTTGATTTCTCCCGAAAAAAAAAACCACTGCTTCTTTTTCCTCTTGCTCCTCGTCAATCGGAAAGCTCTTTTCTTTTTTTTTTTGCTGAACAAAATGCACACTTTTCACCGTAAAAATTCCACTTTTTCACATCGTCTACCTCAACACTCGATCCAGTTCGATGGATAATAATCTCAGTATAACCACGATCCGTTCCTTCCACAGCAGATCATGATTCTTTTTTCACATCCGACGACGACGGACCGCGGCGACGATGATGGCTGATGTAAAAGAAAAAAATCCAGCTCCCTCCGATTCGATTCTACTACGCGACTTTTCGACACAGCCACAGGAGACGGGCTTTATAAAAGTGAAGAGCACGCACGCAGCACACCAACACACGAACAGTTTTGACAGTTCTTTCAACAGTGCACTCAGTTTGTTCCAATGATTATCCATCATTAGCAACAGTCATCACCCATGGGTGGCTGGCAACACGGCGATCGATGATGAACGTACACGGAACCGAAAAATTACCCAAAATTAAGTTCTTTTCACTCATCTCCCATGTACCGTTCCTTGATATAGCTGGAATTAGGGCGTAACAACTTTTGTAAACAATGACTTTTCTTGATGATTTCTAGGAATTCAAGGCACACCCACACAAATCAACATAACCATCGGGTAGGGGAAGACTGATGGTTCTGTTGATTTGCGTGGGTGAGCTTCGACTGTCTAGAAATCATCGATATAAGTAATTGTTTACAAAAGCTGCTACGCCCGAATTCCAGCTCTATCTTTAGCTATAGAGATTCCCGAGGGGCATCCCACTCTAAACTTCATACCTAATATCAGTAAAATATTTGTAAATCCCGTGTAAGTATTCTTAAGTATTTTTAAGTATTTTAAACCATGGCTATAAATTTCCATCAAAGTAACACTTATTTTTTGATGACCGGTTGCTAGTGCATGTGTTTGTTGTTGTCGGTCGTCTTGTATTTATAGAAATAGAAGTGTTAAGTATTTTTATTATGTGTTTAAATTAGTATTATTTAATTTATATTTTTCAGCGATTCAGCTTGTAAATATGCTTCAAGAGCTGGTTATAAAGAATGATATTTTCAGTACAAGTTGAACGATGTTTACCGATCGACTGAACTCAAAGTGTGTATTGGCTCACATATACCCTCTCGGTGCACAAAGATCCTGCGATGATGAATATTGGTATATTCAAATATGAGCGTGCATTAGCTGACCCGAGCAAAAATTTGAGATGGCATGAGAGAGACAACTAGTACTTTTCTCTTTCTCTCTCTCCCTCTCGTACCGTGGACCTTCCTAGCAGCGAATCATCTGACTACGATTTTGTTTTTGCAGTATCGAGGAACTGTTGCCGTGAACACGTGCAGGCCTGAGAAAATGCAGGATGAAAAGTTTGTCGATCTACCGGGTGTTGAATGGGAATGGCCGTTTTGACTCTCCTTTTGAAAAAACTACTAAAATGTTTATTTTGAAAAATTAATGCAATTATTATATCACATTGAACACAACGTTTTAATTGTTTTAATTATACGTAGGAAAACAACGAAAACTAAATCCATTCGTTTAAATAATTCTGACTATGTTGCTTATACTGTGTCCAGTGGCCTTTATGGGATTATTAGGGGAAAGAGGGACATAGTGAACAGGTGGGGCATAGTGAGCATCCCACACTTTGGCTCTGGATCTCCAGCTGCATGATACAAATCAACTGGTAGTAGGTTCAATATCACTATGATATTGATCCTACCACTAACCAATTTGTTCCGAACGGCCGGAAGTTCAAGCTGGTGCACGGGATGCTCACTATGCCCCTCTTACCCCAATCTAATGTAATAAACATGTTCTGCGTTTAGAAGGTGGAAAGCTAAGATATTTGCATTTCCGCAATACGCCCATATTCTCGTTTAACATACTGTCCGGACGTAAACGAGAATATAGGTGATAGTATGGTCATATGGTTTAGTACATCCAATTATGTTCTTATCAGGCATTGTCATAGTCACACAGCCAAGAACCGAGCGGGAAAAAAGAACAACACAAAATTCACTATTAGATTGGTTATACAAATTATGGAACTCGAACGAGTAACAACAAGGGTTCCAATGCCTATCAGAATTAATTCTTTCTGGTACATGGTGAACAGATTACACCGAAAATGGTTCGGAACACCTAAAGCTGTTCACGCTCTTAATCAAATGAATGTTAATTGTTTAACAAATTAACCAATATCCACACAAAACGCCTGACATTGGATAAACAAGCAAATTAAATTGACATAGCAACCAAGCAAATAAACTAACGCCAGATATTTCTTAAGTATTTTTAAGTATTTTTGGGTATCTTAGATATCACTAAGATCTTTATATGTATATTAAGAAAAATACAAAGTTTAGAGTGGGATGCCCCTAATAAACAAATACCATAAACGAACTGTATCCCGGATGGGTAAACTATCCCACAAATGGTTTGGATGATATTCCGAATAGGTCGTTATGCTCTCTTTTATGGTTATTTTTATTAGGGTTGCTAAAGAATGATTGTGTCAGTGATTTGTTTTCATCGGGAAAATTTTCCGCTATGAAGTTTTTTTTCCCGATTAAAACATTTTGCATATACGTATACGTGACGTAGTGTGCGTACGATAAACGTCAGCAATCTCTATACGCCAAGTTCGTCCCTCGTTCAAAAGAAAACAGACCTTTTGAAAAAACAAACTGAACTACACTCAAAAAATTTATCACGAAAAACTATTTTCGGTGTACTTCATTCCATTTACTGGCCTCAGTTGGACCTACTAAGGCTCTGAACCATTTGGTGGATTATTTTAACTTTTGGTTAAATTTGACAGATGGAAGTAAAATTTTGCTAATTTTAGACTTGATGAAAGATCAGCAAACTTTCCAGCAAAATAATGCTGCAGTATCTTGCAGAAATTCCAACTTCTGTCAAAATGACAACATTTTACTGAAATTCAGTAAAGATTTCAGATTTCATTTTTACTGATTTTTTAGCAATGCCAAATTCTGTCATTTAGCAGCATTTTGCTGAATAGACTCAGTAAATCGTTATTTTTCTTGCTAGGAGCACGCAGCTTCTCAAGAAGATTGTTGATACAAATACACAAATAATAGAGAATCACCAACAAGATCACCCGGCTCTTTGCCATGTATACTTTATTAGATATAACCAGTGTATTTACCAACATAATTTTAATTATTTCCTCCTCCTCCTCCTTCGATGTAGACGGTGGTGCTTACGTACTTGCGACTGTGACGCTAACAGTTTGATAGTTCATTACTGGGTGTCCAGCAAACCGTTTATGTTAGCTGTATTTTTCGGTAAAAAATATCGTTTGCTGTCTTTCGGTAAATCATTGCTTTGCTGATCATGATCCAGCAATCCGTTTTACCAACAATCAATACGAAACTAACGATTTTAAATTGGCTCACCACTTTAGTAGCCTATTGGTCCCAAGCAAACGATTAACGTACCCTATTCTAGTTGAAATTCTATTACTACACTATGTTTGTTTTGATTCGCTATGAAAGTTTGACAGATAATATCAGGGGTGTGTGGATTCATGCAGAACATGCAGGGGTGAGTGAAATAGCTTGGGACTGCTTGGGACCGTTGTTCTGGTACTGAGTGAGCCAAAAATAATAATGATTTTCTTCGGGACCCAGTGGTCTTAGAGTTACCTCTATGGTTTTACTGCCTAAGGTTGTGAATCATTTGCCGAGTTAAATTTATCTCGTAGTTAAAAGTGACATTTCGAAAGTTATTTTCTATGTTCGTAAATCCTCGTGCTGTCGATTGACCGGTTTCGAGCCACGGTTGTCAAAATTTAACTTCTTGTCTGTCCGAAATAATTATTCTCAGATAGAAGGGTTAATCGATAACTTTCCATCTGTCAAATTTTAACCAAAAGTTAAAAAAATTCAGAGCCTAAAACATCATCTTTGATCTACCCGTTTCAAACTTATTGACCATGGATCTGAAATAAGAAAATTAATTCTGCACAAATATCAGGAGAATTCCTCTTGGTCTAGTTTCAGTAGGCCTACACTGATAAAATTTCAAAGATTGTTTTTATGTTTCCCACACTTCTTCTTCTTCTTATTCTCATTTCAAGCTTATTGTTTAGTGCGAAGCTTAGTGCATATTAGCACAAACGAAGTGACAGACGGAGCGGCTCGAAAACTTTGGTGACTAACCTGCTATTGCAATTTTTCAGTGTAACACATGGCAACACCACTACTACCACAAACGAAGTGACAGACGGAGCGGCTCGAAATTTGATTTGACGCACTTACATTTACAATTTTCGAGTGTACCTCACGGCAACACTTTCTACTCATATGTACTAGATTAAACTAGGGGGTACCGCCTGTTATCTCTTTTTCTCTAACAAAAATTGAAAGGGAGAGCCTGTTGTCAAACAGCATGTCATTATATCGCTTCTTTTGTATAATGAAAGACCATAGGCCAAAATGATTAGGGATGAACACATCGGGTTAACATTTGCTTACAAGTAAACGATGTTGAGCTGTCAATGACTCGCGCTTGTTGCAATTGTTGCTACAGATTTCTTCAGTCCGTGCTAGAAGCCTAAGTCACAGTCATTCGCGACCGAGAAGACATAGACATCGTTGTTGGATGCCAAACAGAACCCGGCCATACTCGGTATGCTGGTATACATTCACTCCTCCGTAGCGGAACTGGAAGGATCCACCCAAGCTGCCGGATATCAGTTTTGTCTGCTCCAGCTTCTTCTTATTATTCTGCAGAACCAGACAGTGCGAGTACTGGTCGTGTTTGCCAAACCAACCGGTGGAATACTAATCTGAAAGCCGATTTCTTAGGCACGTTGCATTTGTCGCAGTAGATCGTCACTTGCCGCTGCACTTCCATGGAGCGGATTACAATCGCCGTGGCAGTAGTTTCGTCGTACAGATCGATATCAACCCGATAGGTTTGGCCGGCATACTTCGCGTAGTGACGCTCGCTCATGTCACGGGGAATCCTTTCCGAACAGGCGGCGCATTGAAACTTCTGTACGAATCGATCGGGACATAGGATTTGATGTCACGCTTTTGTCTCTTGCTGCCTCGACTGCTCAGCTTCTTCTTATTCATCATTCCAAACATTTTCCGGTACGGGTGCGGGTAGTGGATGTCCCTGTCGAATTGGTTGATTAGACGAGATCATCGTCATCGACAAGTACCAGTTATCAAACTTTCCAGTTATCATGCAGATGAAGTTTTCAACGGAATAATCTCTTCCACCTATGCAGCACAAGCTCGGTTAACAATCTGCGGCAAGTTTTTACGTCGAAGCAAATGGGAAATTGGAATTCAATCTGAAATTGAAAACCAACCCTAATAAAATTGTTATGGTTATTTTGCTTAACGACGATAATACCCCAAATCCAAACCATTTGTTGAATAGTTTTATTATTTGGGTTTTCGTTCATGTATGGTAGTTTTTTATTAGGGAAACAGTAAAAAAAAGTTGTTGAATATTACAGCAGTTAAGCTGCACATAACATATACACATTAATCCAGTCAGTAATGTTTTACTGGGTTTTTGAATTGCGGACTGTTCGAAAAAAGTTTAAAACTCTGCAGGAAATTCAAAAATATGAAACTTTTTCTGAACTTGTACAGATAAAGTTCTGTTAATCTCATTTCTTTTTTTTTTCCTTTGATTTGTTTTTCGTCGATCTGGTTTTCCGTACTGAGCACCAATGCTACCGATGCCAGCACTGATAAAAATCCCCTTATACCTTTTGGCAAATTTCCATTGCTGATTATTAATAAAATGTATAAGGCTACCACCAACCAATTTGTTCCGAACGGCCGGAAGACCAAGCTGAGGCATGGGATGCTCATTATGCCCCACTTGTTCACTATGCCCCTCTCATAAAATTCACTATGCCCCTTCCATAAAATCACAACGAAAATCATGGTATATGAGAAATGTACAATAAAAAGCTGCATGGCACAGTTTGCCCAATCGGCGGGGTACTTTTTCAAGTGCCCTTTGTGCAACAACAAGGACGACTTTAGTCAGCAGATGCAGCAGCGTGGCATTTATATTCCACTGCCACGAGGAACTTCCGTCGAAAACTTCGAGGAACTTCCGTCGAAAAATTGCTTCGAGCCAAACCGGTCGTATCAAATCGTTGACTTCTTCGGATCCAGGATCGCGTCAAGCGGTTGGGTTCCAAACTCAAGGAACTACTCATCCTTCCCATTTATGCCAATCTGCCGTCGGACATGCAGGCGAAAATTTTCGATCCAACTCCACCGAACGCCCGGAAAGTCGTACTGGCCACCAACATCGCCGAGACATCACTAACCATCGATAACATAATGTACGTGATCGATCCGGGCTTTGCAAAGCAAAATAATTTTAACTCCAGAACCGGGATGGAGACCCTGATGGTCGTGCCCATTTCGAAAGCGTCTGCCAATCAACGTGCAGGTCGAGCAGGGCGCGTTGCCCCTGGCAAGTGCTTTCGTCTGTACACAGCCTGGGCATACAAACACGAGCTGGAAGACAACACCGTCCCGGAAATTCAGCGCATAAACCTGGGCAATGCCGTGCTAATGCTCAAAGCTCTTGGAATCAACGATTTGCTTCATTTCGATTTCCTCGATCCTCCACCACATGAAACGTTGGTTTTGGCATTGGAGCAACTTTACGCCCTAGGGGCATTGAATCACCACGGTGAACTGACCAAACTTGGACGACGGATGGCGGAATTTCCGGTCGATCCCATGATGGCAAAAATGCTGCTTGCTAGTGAAAAGTACAAATGTTCCGAGGAGGTGGTGGCCATCGCTGCAATGCTATCGGTGAATGGAGCCATCTTCTACCGACCGAAAGATAAAATCATCCACGCAGATACGGCCCGGAAGAACTTCAACCACATGCACGGGGACCACTTGAGTTTGCTGCAGGTCTACAACCAATGGGCCGAATCGGACTACAGCACTCAGTGGTGTTACGAAAATTTCATTCAGTTCCGTTCGATGAAACGAGCTCGCGATGTCCGGGAGCAGCTGGTTGGGTTAATGCAGCGAGTCGAAATCGAAATGGTTTCCAGTCTGCCGGAAACGACCAACATCCGGAAGGCTATTACAGCCGGGTACTTTTATCACGTCGCTCGGCTCTCCAAGGGGGGTCACTACAAAACGGCCAAGCACAATCAGACGGTGATGATCCATCCGAATTCGGCACTGTTCGAAGAACTGCCTCGTTGGGTGCTGTACCACGAGCTGGTGTTTACGACGAAGGAGTACATGCGGTCGGTGATTGAAATCGAAAGCAAGTGGCTGCTGGAGGCGGCACCGCATTACTACAAACCGAAGAAGCTCGAGGATTCCACCAATAAAAAGATGCCGAAAACGATCGGTCGGGCCACGCTGACCGAGGCGTAGGTTGTGATGAGACGGTTTGGGGTAAGTAAAGAGCATTTTTCGCACTATGTATTCAACGGGAATTGTTGTTATTTGCGATGACATTATCCTACCTAGGGTGTCGGGTGTAAATTAGTGATCTTTAGGGACAAATAGGTGAAATATAAGGTTGCTGCAACCATGCTATATTGTATGTCAGTAGAGAGCTTCATAAGGCTAGCCCGTCTAATCCCAGTCGCGCTCCTTTCCGTTTCTTCAGGTCCGGTTAGGTGGATTAGGTATTCTCTGGCACGCCGAAGCCAACTGCAGGGCTGTTACAAGTGTCGCAAATTTTGTGCGGTTTTATAGCTTTTGAAGTGCGGATTTTGCGGAAAGCTTATCGACATTGAACACATTTTTTTAAATGATATTTTAGCTTGCCCAACCAACTATTAATAACTTTACTGCTTTACTTCTTTATTAAATAATAGAAGGTCTTTCTAAACGTAGATTTTCCTGGAGTCTTCAAATAATTAGAATCGAAACTTAGTTGAATTAACCCTAAGTGGAACTAATCCGCGCCAAAGCAAATCTGAGATGGCAGTCCACGAATACCTCAGATTTGCGAATTTAGCGTAGTCGTAACAACGCCGTCCTTGACGGGAACTAACAAAGTTTATACTATTTCAAACAATCGCTGATAGGAAGTTTTTTTCGCCAAGTGAATGATGAAATACTCACAATGATTTCACTGTCTAAGATTTATTGCTGTCTCTAATAGCATATGTAGCAAAGCTATACATTATTTTTCTCTCGTCTCAATACCTACTTACTACCAAAAGTGGATGCGTTAATAACACAATCAATGATTAACAATTAAAAAAAAACCCTCACTGAATTCAACCATACACAGCAGAACATACAAAATCAAATCTCTCTTTAAAATATGCCCCGACCCGTCCGCTCTAATGCTGCGACCACTGGATCGACTTGATGTCGATATCTTCCTGGATCATCTCCCACAGCGGGGACATCTCTCGGAGTCGAGTCACGTGCTTGATGCACTTTTCAGCTATGTAGTCGATTTCCTCGATGGTGGTAAACCGTCCGATGCCAAAGCGAATCGAGCTGTGAGCCAGATCTTCGTCGGCACCAATCGCACGCAGCACATACGACGGTTCCAGCGAAGCCGAAGTGCAAGCCGATCCACTCGAGAGGGCAACGTCTTTCAGCGCCATCAACAGCGATTCACCCTCAACGTATGCAAACGACAGATTGATACATCCGGGATAAGAATGAACTGGATCGCCATTGCGGATGACTTTCGGTAGCGATGCGAAGATTTGGTCCATCAGGCGTTTCGAGAGGAACTCCATCCATTTGTGATCGTACTCCATTTCACGGCTAGCGATTTCACAGGCTTCCCCCAATCCAACGACCAGTGGAGTCGGAACGGTTCCACTTCGAATGCCACGCTCCTGGCCACCTCCGCTCTGACTGGCTTCCACACGAACTCGAGGACGAATGCGAGTTGAATGCGAGAGGCTCCCAAACATACAAACTTTGCTCTTTCATTATCACGACGTTCTTATGCATAATCTAGTGTGACGTAACGTTGGAACACCGTGAGAACGAAGGAGTCGACTACATTCTTTCTGCCGCACCTATAGTACCGCACACGGTTCCCGCGCTGACTGTTCCTTACTTTCTCACTCTAATCAAAATTTCCTTCGATGAGTGAGAAAACAGCACCCCGTCAACGCGAGTGAGAACGCGAGTTGCCAGATCATTGCACACAAAACCAACTTGAATTAATTCAAATCAAAAATACTAGCGAACCTGGCGGTGAGCGGCTGAAAGTGGTCTAAAATTCTATTACAGAGAACCACCTTATTTTAATTAATTTCTTCGGAGAAAGTCGTCTGTAACTTCGTTTGTGCTACTACTGGATTGTACCACATGGCAACACTACTACCAACAATCAATACGAAACTAACGATTTTAAATTGGCTCACCACTTTAGTAGCCTATTGGTCCCAAGCAAACGATTAACGTACCCTATTCTAGTTGAAATTCTATTACTACACTATGTTTGTTTTGATTCGCTATGAAAGTTTGACAGATAACATCAGGGGTGTGTGGATTCATGCAGAACATGCAGGGGTGAGTGAAATAGCTTGGGACTGCTTGGGACCGTTGTTCTGGTACTGAGTGAGCCAAAAATAATAATGATTTTCTTCGGGACCCAGTGGTCTTAGAGTTACCTCTATGCTACTACTACTGGATTGTACCACATGGCAACACTACTACCAACAATCAATACGAAACTAACGATTTTAAATTGGCTCACCACTTTAGTAGCCTATTGGTCCCAAGCAAACGATTAACGTACCCTATTCTAGTCGAAATTCTAGTACTACGCAATGTTTGTTTTGATTCGCTATGAAAGTTTGACAGATAAAATGAGGGGTTATTGGTTTTTCCTATGTTTCAAGGGGTGATTCGACAAGCTTGGGACCGAAGATAGTACCAGAGGTGAGCCAAAAAGTTGAGCACGTTTCTTCGGGACCTACACACTTAAAATTTTTCGCCGAGATTCCAACAGCCGAGAAGTTCTGCAATTTATTTTGCTGACATTCAGTAAAACAATTGCCGAGACTCAGCTAACAAATATCATCTGGCTGAGATATCAGCTAACAAACAGATATTTTGCAGATATATCAGCAAAAGTAAATGCCGAGGTAATCGGCTGTTGGAGATTTTACCGAGCTAGATTAAGTGTGTACTTGTCTTAGAGTTACCTCTATGCTACTACTAGATTGAACTAGCATTTTCCCCAAATGTACTAGAATGTTTTGGTTCTATCTCTTTCACTCTACTCAAAACTGAAATGCATAAAAAAATGACAAAATGATACGCACTCTTTGCACACTGTCAAAGAATCATTGTACACAAAATCAAATTTGTTCAAATCAAAACAAAAAAACGAACCCATCTGGTGGATGATGGCACAAGCTTCCAAGAAAATTCTATTACAGTGAACCACATTATTTTAATGGATTTCTTCGCCAGTTAGTCGTCTGTCACTTCGTTTGTGATTATAGTTTTTTGGAAGTGAACCTTACAAATAATGGGTTGTTAAGAACCATTACCATTCAAAATTCTTGTTTTTTCCATACATTTTCGGAAAGAAAACTACACTAAAACCTTTTAACTTATGGTTTGAGAACATTAATGGTAATGGTTATGGTAACCAGTAAGGTCCATGAATGGTTTTGTAACATCGATCAACTTTATGTGGAATATATCGCGAATTGGTTGCCTGTAAATTACTGATTACCAATTCACGATATATTTCACGTAAAGTTGAGTGATAATACAAAACCATTAATGGACCTTACTGACTACCATAACCATAACCATTAATGTTCTCAAACCATAAGTAAAAACGTTCTAATATAGTTCTCTTTCCGAAAATGTATGGAGAAAACAAGAATTTGGAATGGTAATGGTTCTTAACAACCCATTATTTGTAAGGTCCGCTTCCAAAAAACCATAACACATAAGGTTAAAACTTTATCACACAAACGTTCATGTAAAGTTCCATAACCATTTCAGTTGAAGTTTAGCAGGGATTATAAACAATTTATAACCATTATCGGTAAGGTCATGTGATGGTTCGCGTTTATGCGGGCAGGGAAGTCGAGAAAATTTCCTACCCGAAAGATTCCCTCGACCGGACTGGGAATCGAACCCGCCACCTCCGACTTGATAATCACCCATATTCTTGTTTTCGTTCGAACCGTATTTTCCATACAAAAAAAACTTTTTTTTTTGTATGGAAAATACGGTTCGAACGAAAACGTCCTAACTGCTTTGATCGATTCTCTTCATCGACTTTCTCTTTTGTTAATAACGCAGCTGCAAAACCTTTCCCTGTTGTATTTGATGTTTTGGACGCTAGATAAAAATCTCCGTTTTCAAACTATGCGGTAAAATTAGCACGAAATCTGTTTGCATAGCAGTGGTTATCAAAAGAGATAGTCGATGAAGAGAATCGATTAACGCAGATAAGATTCGCCTATTATAACATCGACTCTGATAACCCCCACCTCTTAAATTTAGTGTTAAAAAATGTTTTTTTTTTTGTTTTTTGGAACGCCCTAGAGCACAAAGATCTTAATATTTTCACTATTCGCCACCAGAGTCCACACAGCAAAAAGCTGAAACGTCACCAACACATCATCATCTGAGTCATCATCATCAGTACAGTCATTGCGTCGTCGTGAATAAGAAAGAACACAACATTTTGATTTTTCCTTCATCGCAGATCTTTCCTCGGAGAGTTGTATTTTCACAGCATCACAGCGTGAAATCTGTCTCATTGCGGTAAATTGGTAAGTACTTTATTGAATCCTACGAGTAAGAAAATATTTTATTTTTAGAATCGTTTTCGCTCGAAGGCAATCATTCTTGATTTTTTTTTCCAGATACAAAAGAACCATGACCACCCAAACGGGAACTAGCCTTCAGCTGGCGCCTCTGCGCTCAGTGAACGATTTTCTACTGGAATCGGCCCGTTTTCAGCTGCCCAACTTTCAAGATTTCGAAAAATGGGGAAATCGAGTAGTTAAGAACCTGCTCTACTATCAAACCAACTATCTACTGATGAGTCTCGCCGTATTCCTCGTAATCGGATTGATTCATCCGTACAAGGTGGTCCTCGGGATGATAGTTATAATGGCACTGTTGTACGTTTTCGTCAAATTCTTCGCGGCCGAAGCACGTCGATCGGTTGGAGCAACGAGTGGCCAACAGCAGCCAAACAAGTGGGCCGTTCTGGGAGGAGTGGTCGGATGTTGCTATCTGGTGCTGTTCATGTTCGATGCTGTCCTTATCGTAATGTTCGCCGTGCTGTTACCGTTCTCACGTAAGTTAGGGAGGATGACATCACTCTTGTGTTGCCCGCCTTGTCGTCACCCTCCGATTAATAAGCAATTGAGTGGGTAATTAATCGCGTCTGCTTTCAGTGACCTTCGTTCATGCTTCTTTGCGATTGCGAAACATTAAGAACAAACTGACCAACACGATTGAGATCGTTGGAGCCAAGCAGAGCCCGATGGGACAGTTTTTGGAAGCCATGGGATTGATGCCAGATGCGTTTTAACTCTTTCGCGAACTACACTTGGCGCTAAGGCAGCTGCTATGCATCGATAAGCCATACAGAATTAAGTGATTATCGAAACCAAAATTTGATCGTCGTTGCTGAATTTTTGTTACACGTCGTGCTTCTGAGCAAATTTTGTTTTTGTTTTTTAAGGAAGATCTGATGATCTAGGTTTACCTTAGAATTTGATTTGTTTAGATGTATACGTATATAGTTACCTACGTTAGCACAGTAAAAGCAACATACAACAATCACCATACTGTTGACGCTAGTCAAACGTCCCTATCGAGTGGGTGAATACATTTGAAATACAGTGTTTGTCTTTCTCAGCTTAAAAATTGTAAAATTATAAAATATATTTTGATCAAGTTCGAAAACAGGCTTTTTATTAAGGCGCATATTGGCAGGTATCCAAAAAATCACTCAATTGTGCTACATTACTCCAAACGCCATTACCCTGAATTTCATTAATACAAAAAAGGGAAGAAAACGAGCAGGAATTTGAAAAATTACCTTGTTCAAACAATTTGCCATGTCTAGAATATTAAAGAATATCAAAATTACCTAAGCCTAGAATTTCACTGCAAATCTTAACCTGTGAACATAAGCTCGTGACTTAGAATTCTAAAGAATTGAAAAAAGTGTTAAGGGCTCAATTCACGATTTATTTAAATCGAATAGAATGAAAAGTTCCGCGGAAATAAATTCTTAACCAAGGCCAGCTATGTAATATTAAGATCGTGCAGCCTTTTCACAGACCTGGTGAAACCGACGGTGTTTGCAATTGCTCCATCAAGCTCAGATAAATTGGATTTTTTTTTCTAAATAAATCGTACCTAGGTGGTGTGTTAGGTAGGAATTTCGAAGCAATGATTCAGACATGTTAAACCATCTGTCGAAGTTGATGAGAAAATATATTTACTCAGATGTAACATGCACATCATTAGCCTCGCAATTATCATGCAGCTTTACTGCTTTCGCGTCAGTCGGCTGTCCCGGATGACACCTTCGACAGTGCATCCGCCGAGTGTAAGCCGAATTGAAGCCCAACTCACAATACCAACATCGGTACGGTTTCCGTCGAGTGTGAGTCATGGTGTGACTCTTCAGCTGCTGAGTACAAACGAATGCCTTGTCACATGAGTCGAATGAACATTTGTAGGGCCGTTCCATGGTGTGAACCAATCGGTTGTGGTTTATCAGTGCCGCATTGGTTTTGTACTCCTTTTCGCAGCCCTCGTAAGGACACTTGTACGGTCGCTCATTCGTATGCTTTCTCCGGTGTGCAGCCAGGTCGCTTCTAGTGTTGCAACGCTTATCACAAAACTCGCACAAGAAGCGAAATTCTTTCGTATGAATATAGCGAATGTGCGCGTCTGCTTCATTCCTCGATTTGAACGAAGCCCCACAGTGTTCGCAAATGACGGGCAAGTTACGATGGTCCCTCCGGATGTGACATCTCAGCGATGGTTTCAATCGATATCGAGCGTCGCAATCACTGCACTTAAATTTGTACTCCAATTCAACGTCGAGGTCCTTTTTTTTCGCTTTCCTAATTCCGTACACCTTATGCTCTTTTCCCGAATGGTTTTTGAGATAAGTTTCGTTGTAGAACGATTTTTCACAGGCAGCACACTTGAAGATATCATCCCACAGTCGGAGAGCAAATTCCTCACAGTTCTCAAAGGTGCCATCTCTGTGCTTCTCTTGGTGATGTTCGTGCTCTCGACGACCAAGGAAGCACCTTGCACATTGATTGCATTTGAAAATCTGCTTCTCGTGAACCTTCCGAAAGTGTGCCAGCAGCATACTGTAGCTTCCGAAAGCTTTCTTCCTGTCGCAAAATTGACACGGTGAGCTCATATGAATCTTCTGATGCTTGGACAGTTCTGTCTTGCTGAAATGGATTAATAGATTTATACGCATCGCGCTGCTCATCAACAGTCAACAGTTTAACTTACGTTTCAAAAGCTTGCTCACAAAGAGCACACAGGTGATTGGCCGTTTTCTGTCCGTGAGACTCCATCAAATGGGTATTTAAATTGTTATATCGGCAGAACGTCCTGCTGCACATTTCACATTGCAATCGAAGCTCCTTGGGTTTATGCACTGCCACATGATACAACGCTTGGCTGTGGCGGGCGAAAACCTGTCCGCAAATTTTGCAATAAGCTCGATGTCTCTCCTTCGCATGCTGAACAGCTTGTCCAATAACGACCGGCGCGCAGTCGTGTATAGTACAAGGCCTCCTTTTAACTTTGCTGCTATCCTCTTTGACTTTTTTCGTAGCTGGTTCGTCAAACAATTCGTCCTGTTCATCACCCACCTCAAACTTAAGCTCCAACTCTAATTCATCCTCGTTTTCAAAACACCCATTCTCTGGTTGTTCAAATGAACCTTCCGAGACTTCAATTTCCTTCTTGACATCGATCACACAATCGGGAAGTAGTAGACTCTTTGCCAGTACCGTCATCAGCTCCTCCTCTGATCCATCAACCCGTTTGATGAGGTTCAATCGATGCAGAATACTTCGACACTGTTCCGAGTGCAGTTGGTTCTTCAGTGATGTCAAATTTCCGAAATGCTTGGCTTCTGACAGCGCAACAAGAAGCTGCATATTGGTTTCGGTTTCCGCGTGGAATTGTAGGATGTCGTCGACCTTCCGTTGGCATGTGCGACATATTCGTTGTGGTAGAAATTCCTCAAAGTTCTACGATTGAAAATTGTTAATTTCACGAGAACATGTTTCCTAAAACATCGAAATATTACCTGCTTGCTTTCCGGAAACCACCCATTGAGAAAATGACGATAAGTATTTCCGCTAGCCTCCCCAATGGCATCCACTGGAAATGATCTATTTTTTTCAACAACGCTTAGACACACTCGACAAACGTTTGAAAACAATATTGATGCGCTCATGTTCACTTTGGAAAGAGCAAATAAATAATTTATTAAATAATATAAGAACCAAAATGGTCGCTGTATACACGCTATTTCAAAACTACCCAAATTTTAATAGAATCCACCCAGATCAACCAAAACTGAACCTACCCAAAAATGGGTAAACTATGTTCCGAGTGACAAGTTGACAAATGGACTACATCGACATGAATCCGATCGACTTTGTTCATTTGTCAACTTGTCACTCCGAACATAGTTTACCCACTTTTGGGTAGTTTCAGTTTTGACCGATCTGGGTGGATTCTACCAAAATTTGGGTAGTTTTGAAATAGCGTGTAGAGCCTCTTATCACAGAGAACAGACGTTGAGACTCGAACAAAATTTCTCTAAAAACTAGTGTAAAGATTCCTATTCGACTTAAGCGCCACTAACAGCGACTTCCCCACGTAAAAACCCTGTTTGACAACGTGATGGCGCTGGCGTTGCACAATTTACACTAGACACTAAGTGCTGGTAGCGCCAAGTGGCAATTTTCAACAGAAAATGTATCGATACTAGAGCCAAATTGGTCGAAAGTGGAAAATTTGTAGAGGAAATCAGGAGATGCTAGCGCCGAGGCTAGCGCTACGTAACGGCGACGTTTCCACTTAACTTTACACAAGTTTCTAAGCGAACTTGGACGTCTGTTCTCTGTGGCTATATTCAAAAGACATACGGAGATGATGATATGATGATATGGAACTACCACTCACTGTAGCAAGACAACTGTCGGTAGACTGTGGACTATCCTCGCTGTTCGACTTGATCAAGTTAAATAAACTCTAATTGAACTCAACCTGCCATTGTATGAAGGGCCGAAAACGGTTTGGGTGAATCCGTGAGCAACATCACCCTCGTTCATCCATGGGATAAATGAGAATCTTCTTACAACAACAAGATCATACAACCGGTAAAAAAACAGGCAATCCAACAGAAGGATGTGCCACCAGTAAAACAAATCCAATAAATATACAATGATTTTCATTGTCATTGTAACCATGATATTTGCTGTCAAAACATTGGACATTTATGTTGATTACCATAAAATCACAACGAAATTCATGGTTCAAAACAATGAAAATCATGGTTTTGATAAATTTACAGTTAAAAAGGAGGTTGTTAAGTATCTTAACAATAAAAAAAAAGTTGTCATTTATACTCTCCCCATCCATTTCGCTTCAATCGTCCCGTACCCAGCATTTAATGTCACATATAATAATGGATTGAATGAAAATTGAAAGAAAAATAAAGGAAAAGATAGCGGCACCGGTAGTGTAGTGGTAAGCGTGATTACCTCTCACCCCAGAAGGCCTGGGTTCAATCCCAGTCGGCGCCGCCGGGATGTTCTTGAGGCATAACATCTCTGATCACGCCTTCCTTCGGATGGGAAGTAAAGCCGTTGGTCCCCGGTTCATGAGTTGATGGGTCGATAGGTAGGGTCCAGGTGTGGGAGCTGCCTTCCTGGCACGTCGGTAGCATTGGTGCTCAGCACGGAAAACAAGATCGACGGAAAAAACAAACCAAAGGAAAAAAAAAGTTGACAGATTACATATAAAATTCGTGAAAATTAGCATTAAATCATAATTGTCATCAAGCCTGCGTAAAATCCTTCCAATATAACATTCGAATTGAAGAAGAAAACGTCTTTACGATCAGGCTGATGTGCATTTTTGACTTTTCCAGATGAACTTTCATAAGATATATTCATTTCATTTCATGGCTCCATTAATGCTGCATCGTACATTATGATGTAAACAGAAGTAAATTTCTCAATTACTCAAAATAAAGATGATTTGTCATCTTGTTATCACTTTGAAAACCATCTAGCACCATTTTATAGTACACTCAGGTCTTTTTTTACACGTGGAATACGGTCCGTGTAAAAAAAACCTACGAGATTTTGATTTTTCGCATGCTTAAATGTTTTTAAAAAATCGGATTTTGATGCCATTTGTAATTAAAGCATGATATGGTCCATATAGACATTTTAAAAATTTCTGTATTTACACCAAAAATTGTGATTTTTTTTAAGTATGCCATTCAATTACAAATAGCTTGAAACGGATAATGTGATTGGAATCAAGTCGATAGGTTGTATCGTTGTCGAGAAATCGTTAAAAACGTACCGTGTAAAGCCTGGTACGCAGCTGAAAAGTAATGACGTTTTTACGTGCTACGGGATAGGACACGGAATGCAAAAGAAATTACTTTTCCTCAGCATTTCTTGACCCAGTACGCAGTTCAAAAGAAATCGGTAAAGGAAAGATCGATTACATTAGTATCGTGATCGACATGAAGGTGGCGCATTCCGAATGCAATTTCACTTTCCTTGCGGAATAATGGTCTGATCAATTATTCCGTTAGGTAATGTTGGCGTTTATTGCAAAACTGATGTTTTGGATGCATTTAAACAACATAAACACTAATAAGTGTTGATTTCACAATTTGACAACATCTCGCTATAATCTCAAAATTTAGCAGACTATAGTTGTCAAATTTTCTTTTGGGAAAAATCCTCAAAAATTACTTTTCCGTTTTCTTTTCAGCTGCGTACCAGGCTTAAAGCCTGGTACGCAGCTGAAAAGTAATGACGTTTTTATGTGCTACCGGATAGGACACGGAATGCAAAAGAAATTACTTTTCCTCAGCATTTCTTGACCCAGTACGCAGTTCAAAAGAAATCGGTAAAGGAAAGATCGATTACATTAGTATCGTGATCGACATGAAGGTGGCGCATTCTGAATGCAATTTCACTTTCCTTGCGGAATAATGGTCTGATCAATTATTCCGTTAGGTAATGTTGGCGTTTATTGCAAAACTGATGTTTTGGATGCATTTAAACAACATAAACACTAATAAGTGTTGATTTCACAATTTGACAACATCTCGCTATAATCTCAAAATTTAGCAGACTATAGTTGTCAAATTTTCTTTTGGGAAAAATCCTCAAAAATTACTTTTCCGTTTTCTTTTCAGCTGCGTACCAGGCTTAAATCGTGGAAAACCGTGTAAAAAAAAACCGTGTAAAAAAAGACTTCAGTGTATTGGGCGTGTTGAGTATATCAAGTTCCGTTACGTTTTCCGTTGAAAATTGTGAGTATCAATATGTTTGCCTTTAAAAGGCCAAAATGAACATTTATTGAACATTGGCGTCCTATAAAACCAATTCTCCATTACCACCAGCATGATACAACCTTTCCTAAGTAAATTCACTTAATTTTCACTTTCATCTTTTCATCAAATTCACTTAATTTTCACTTTCATCGCACATATTCACCATTTTCCGAAAAATGCAGCTGCGCAGGAGGTAACATCTCCCTGTGGGTGCAAACTTGTTATGCATAATATTCCATGAAAACGTCTCCGATCCATACCGAAATAATAACAGTTAGTTTTCTTCAAACACGTTTTATTACACGATTCATGCAAAAGTTTCCACGAGAAATTATTAGTTTTTCTTTATAGACCGATTTGCCTGTTTTATTTGGAAAATTTGGAAACTATCCTCCTCCTAGTAGTTCTCGCTTCAAAATGTAGGTGGCGAAAGCTTGGAAAAGTTTCACTGCAAGAAGCCAATTGACGAATCCAAGCAAAGCCAAAACTGGGCATGCGACACCTAGTTTTCAGAAGAGATGAACTAGCCTCAGGCTAAAAATCTCTAAAATAAAGATTTAAAAAAAAAAAAAACCTAGTTTTCAGGTCCGCAATTACAAAAATGATGATGTACCACAGATAACAGACGTCCAAGTTCGTTCAGAAACTTGTTTAAAGTTAAGTGGAAACGTCACCGCTACGTAGCGCTAACATCTTCTTTTTTTTTAATGCTTTATTAAAGAGATTTTTAGCCTTAGGCTAGTTCATCTCTACACTAACATCTCCTGATTTCCTCTTAAAATTTATCACTTTCGACCAATTTGGCACTAGTATCGATAAATTATCTGTGGAAAATTGCCACTTGGCGCTACCAGCAAAGAGGGTTTTTAAGTGGGGAAGTCGCCGTTAGTGGCGCTTAAGTCGAAAGTTTTTAGAGAAATTTAGTTCGAGCCGATACTGTTCTCTGTGGATGTACTAATAAAAATGTCATGCAATTTGACAGATATCAAAACGTCATTACCATTTTCACCCACTCGCCATCTGTGAGTCAATCGTCACTTCGATTCTTCAATAGCACTCTTCGATTGCATTTCAGCAACAATCAGAGGAAGGTAGAAACTCATTCGGGGGGTAATGGTGTTCGGAAAAGTGACACGAAAAACCCTCTTAGCGAAAAACTAGAAATTGTGGTGGCATTAGATACTTTATTTTGGACATGAACTATCCAGTTGGCTAAAAATCTTCCTAATAGTCTTAAAACAAAAGTTGCTCTACTAGATTAAATAATTGCAATTAAAATCATAGAGAACAGACGTTCAAGCTCGGTCAGAAACTTGTGTAAAATAAGTGGGAACGTCGCCGTTACGTGGTGTTAGCAGCTCCTGATTTTCTCTATAAATTTTCCACTTTGGCGCTAGTATCGATAAATTTTCACTTAGTGTCTAGTGTAATTTGTGCAACGCCAGCGCCATCATGTTGTCAAAGAGGGTTTTTAAGTGGGGAAGTCGCCGTTAGTGGCGCTTAAGTCGAATAGGAATCTTTACACAAGTTTTTAGAGAAATTTTGTTCGAGCCTCCATGTCTGTTCTCTGTGTTAAAATTAAACATTAATGTTCACAGATGTATTGCAGTTACGAGGCTGGTGACTCTATATTCGATGCAAGAAAGATTTCGTTTTGGCAAAAAAAAAATTAAAGTAGATTTTTCGTAAATCGATTTGCTAGGTTGAGATTTTCCGAGCATCTAGGATTGAGATATAGATGTGTTTTTGCAACAGAATGCAGAAATATTTGCCTAATCAACCGTCACAAGGACCCCGCTTGTTTGGGGTGGTATCTCCGGTTGTGAAGTTTCCCTTTTGTCCACCTCTGTCTGTGCATTTGGATGAACTCTACTTAAATGTTTAGTCAAGTCATTTTTTCTGCGAAACGTCGCCTTGCAAACGGTACATTGCTCTTCCGCTTTTATGACCTTAGCCGGCACCTTTCGCTGTTTGCTACCAACTACCAAATGAACCCTAGCCCGATGTCTTCCAAGGTCCATCTTCCTTCGGAACACCTGATCACATTCTTCACATTGGAAAGGCATCTCCTCATTGTGAACGGCCATGTGCTTCTTTAGGTCGTTATTGTTGATGAATGCTTTGTCGCATTCGCTGCATTTGGCCGGTCGCTCAGTGGTATGCATACGAATTATGTGATCTTTCAATGCATGGGATTGCTTGGCGCGATAGTCGCAGTGAGGGCATTTGTGTTTTTTCTCCGCAGCGTGAGATTTCAGATGCTCTTTTAGTAGATAGGCTTGGGAGTAAGCTTTTGAGCAGTGTTCGCATTGGTAGGGAAGCTCAGTAGCATGTTTATTAGCTATGTGTGCGGTTAGGTAAGAATGGTGTTTGAAATTTTGACCGCAAACATCACATATGGACTTCTGATTGCCCATGTTGTGTTCCTTGTGTTTATGGGACCAAAGGGAGTTTTTAAATCGATACTTTTTACCGCAGATATCACAACTATATCGGAGAGCAAATTTTTCTCGCTCCTCTTTAGATCTCCGCTTAACCGTGGGTCGATCTGGCTTCTCCACCTGCGAACGGTTGTGTACTTGATCATTGTGCTGCAGTAGGAGTTCTTCGTTGGTAAATTGTAGACTACATTGAGGACATTGATAAAATGTAGCACTGTTGATGGCATAGATAGTAAATCGCTGTGGCTTTTGATTGTTACTACGTTCGGAATGCTTCATACGCATGTGGCGATCCAAAAGAGCACGACTCAACGAAGTATGATCACAGTGGTCACATGTAAACAACGTGTCTGGATGTTGCTTCCGGGTGTGGTTTATCCAACCAGGAAGATCAGCAAATGTTTCATCGCAGAGCTTACATTCTCTATGTTCGTGCAAATGGAGATGGAGATCTTTTTGTCTGAAACACAATCCGGTGAATGAGAATGTAAAAATCATAAATTTGTAAAACTTCTACTTACTCCATGAAACCTTTTCCACAATACTGGCAATTGAAATGTATTCCAGTGTTGTTGTGCACTTCTCTTATGTGCACCATCATACTGCCTTTGGTGGTAAAAGTTCTTTCGCAAAAGTCACATTTGGCCTTGGCTTCGTCTCCGTCATGAAGTAGAACATGGTTCCGGAAGGATGTGCGTGAAGCTAGAACTCTTCCACAAACGTTACAAGCGTAGCGGTGAAAAGTTTTCTCATGCTCCAAGTACGCGGTTCGATTCCCAACTAGATACTCTTTATTACAACCAGTAAGTGAACATAATTTATACTTTTGGCCACCTTTCCGAATAATTTTGCTACTTGGCTTGAGGTCAACTTTTTGTGTTTTCTTCCTCTTGCTCGTGGGTTCTTTATAGCCTCCTGACTCAGATTCATGCTGAGCTATGTCTGTATATGAATTTTCACTATCTGATTGCCGGTCAAAGACTTCCGTAACAATGTCATCAACTTTAACTTCTTCAAACAGAATATCGTTGTCTGTACTTGCTTTATCGTTGGTTTCAGTTCTGCAGCTACCACATATATTGTTCAATAGATTATCCAGGGGGAAGTCCTTGTCGTCAATTAAATTTAACCGACATAGATATCTTCTTAATTGATCCCCATCATATTTGAACAAATCGATCATCGGTTGTGAGTTTTTGTTCTCCTTGGCTTCCAGTAAAGCAATGGAGAATTTAAGAATCAGTGTCGTTTGCTGCCTCAAACTTAAGAAATCATCCAACTGACGGGAGCATTCCTCACATAGATGTGCTGGTAACCCACTGGCGTGTTCCTACAAGGTAACTTTTGTTGAAACATCTTTTCAGACGCATAGCTAAATAAAAAATTAAAAAAAAACATCAGACATACCTCTGGCGGGATAAAGGATAATTCATTCAGCAAGTCTTCATACGTTAAGCAGAGACCATCCTGATCGGATTGCACAGGGCTGTTTAGGTTGAAGTCAAGCACTGATTTGAAACAAATTCTGCACACCGATGGAAACTTTGAATAATCGTACATTTTTAAAATTCTTCTTGTGGTAATTCAATGTTGTACCATTTATATTGAATATTATGCATACACTTTATGCTGTTTGTTTTGATCGGTAAATATTTACTTGCATGCAGTTATGCTCACACGGCGAATGAGAACGACCCAAATTTGAGTTTAGTTCACTCATAATCGCTAAAAGTGCAGGAACTCAGCGATGAGTAAAATTTATCTCATGGTTTCCTGTGGAAAACCTAAAAAATCTGCCGGAAAATGAGTAAATTAACCACTTTATTCGAGCACTTAAAATGACGTTTACTACCACTCGAACTTTGAAATAATTTCATTATTTAATAATTTTAATATAATATTTAATAATTTCATTTATTTAATAAAACATTATTTTGAGATTTTTTCTTCTAGAACCTCGAGAAAAGTAGCCAACATTTGTGCGTTTCATAAAAAAAATAGAATTTGTTTGGTCCAGTTTTGTGAAATCGCTGGTAGAAAGTCACGCCAAAACTGCTTGACAAAGTGGTCAATTGACGAAAATTTTATTCAGTCTCGGAGTAGTACCACAGAGAACAGACGTTGAGGCTCGAACAAAATTTCTCTAAAAACTTGTGTAAAGATTCCTATTTGACTTAAACGCCACTAACGACGACTTCCCCACTTAAAATCCCTCTTTGACAACATGATGGCCTTGGCGTTGCAAAACTTACACTAGGCACTAAGTGCTGGTAGCGCCAAGTGGAAATTTTCAACAGATAATTTATCGATACTAGCGCCAAATTGGTCGAAAGTGATAAATTTATAGAGGAATCAGGAGATGCTAGCGCTACGTAACGGCGTCGTTTCCACTTAATTTTACACAAGTTTCTGACCTAACTTGGACGTCTGTTCTCTGTGGTAGTACCAATAGACTGAGTGAAACCAATCTTTACTTTTCTCAAATTCAGGAATTTTTCCCTGGAAAATTCTGGAAAAACCTGGGAAAACATGAGGCAAATTTACTCATCGCTGAGTTGTTGGTACAACGGTAGTACAACAGTGAACTTTGTATGTCTGTACAAGGTATTAACAAATAAACTAATTGAAAAAAAATCACAATGGTCCAAACGTTGACGAAAAGAACAATATTCTCAAAATTAGCGGATTTCAACTTTTTCCATTGAATGTGTAAAATACAAATAAAAAACGCACCGTAACGCATAACGTCAACGCTGTCATACATCAAAACAAACTTGTTGTAGTCGTTCTTAATATCGTACTGATTATGTGAAAACAATATTTAAATTATGGACAGGAAAGTGAATATTCCAAACTACCCGAACGTTTGTCGGGTATGCTTTGTGGAAACTATCGAAAATGAATCAATACTGGCCAAGGCTCAAATTGTGGATGGTGTTCACAGTTTGTGGACTACACTTTCCAACCTATGCTCTTTGGACCATCCGGAAGAGGTATAAGACCATACAGGTTTTGTTATGATTGATTTTGGGTTCCTTGTTCTAGACCTATATTCTGCATGTGATGTGACTTAAGTTGATCGTGAAAGTGCTGCAAAATCTCACGACAATATTGCAACAGCATTTGTCACTAACTCGAGCTAAATATCAACTTCGAGGGAAACCATGTCAATTGTCAGCGACGATGTAGTCACTGACGAACATGTGTAGTTTATTAAATTTGTAACGAAATGAATTGAAGAGAGCAGAATAAATCCATAGAGCCGTCAAAATGAACAGACATCTATGTCCTTAAGTGCGTGGATAACCATAGTGTGACAAAGAAGGCACGAAATTACACATTTTGTAATCAGGTTAATCTTTGATGTCAATAATAATTTTGTCAATATAGCGAGAAATTAATGACTAATCTTATTACTGGACCGTGCAAAACACCACTTCGACAGTGAGCGTTCGTAAGGGCGTAATTGCAATGATCGATTCTCTTCGTCGATTTTCTTTTTTGTTAATAACTCGCTTGGATTAACATTTCTCGGTGCGTTTGCGGTTGCTTTTGATAGCTAATACAATGTTACAGCACTGCATTAGTCAAATTTCAGAATATTGCTCCGTTTAACTGTAGCAATTTAAAGAGAAAAGAGAAGAGAATCGATCATTGCAATTAGGGCCTTTTGTACGCTCACTGTCTACTTATTCTATGAACGTTTAAGAAACTAATGGTTCCAATATTTGAAATTTGTATCAGCCGACCTCGTACTGCTTCGTAATTAAGGGTACTTATTTCGGCCTCAAATGGAACATTTGTTTAGATTTTTATATCTTTTTCCAATATTAAAAAAAAAATCGGAGTGGTGAACCCCTCAATAGAAATAATTACATTGCAGAAAAAGTATCTAGGTTTAATATAATTAAAAAATGTTGTCGAATCTAGGAAAATTTAGCTGCTCTAGAAGAGTAATTAACTGGTTTCATCTTGAGGAAACTCAATTTTGAAAGATTTTCTTAGTAGATGGTGGTTCATAGCGATAAAAAAGTACAAATTATCGATAAACAAACTCACAAGACCATTTTAGATTTAGACTGTCTAGAATTTTATGGTTACAAATTTCAACGCGAATCTAAATTAAGGTGTTTTCTTATAGAGAAATTTCAAGAGCACAAATCTGAATTCCAGACATTGTAGTAGTTTCAGGTACGTGCATTCACAAAAATCTTAATATTTTTACTTGTGTAATTACGAAGTGTACTACCAAAAAGGACGCTACAAGGAATAACCTTAACTGACAAATTAATACAAGGCTTATAAATCATTCAACGTTTAATTAGAAAACACCCTAAAATTATTACAGCACACCAACGAAGATGACCTCCCACAGCAGATGTGTCCTACCTGTGCTAAGCAAATCGAGACGTTCCAAACATTTCGCTTCGAAACAATTGCAAATCAACAATTTCTGAAAGCATGGACCGCATACAGATTCGGAGCAGACACTGTCCCATTGACGAAGCTGTTGCGTGATCAAACAAAGTTTCATCCCACAATCCGAAAAACGTTGCATCGACTTAAGGTCATTGAAAGCGAAGACGCACCGTTGGAAGACTTGATCACAGACTCCAGACTTGATCCAGAAATAATCGAGAAGGTGGAAGTGAAAGTTGAGCCGGAAGACATCGAAAATCCATTGCTGGGTCCCCGCTGTGATAGGAATGGAGACGAGGACATAAGTGTGGAATATGAGGAGCAAGACGACGACAATGTGGAACAACTTCCCGATGAACTTCTGCTGGAACAAGATAACAGTTTGGAAGACGTGCTTTCCAAAAAGCGAAAACGAAGTTTCGACAGAGTAAAAATCGTCGATGGAGTTCGAACTCGACCGTGCTATCTGGACAACTGCGAGCCGGTGCCAGTGGGACAAGCGGATAGACACACACGGGAGAACCACCGTGCCTACTGCAGGTTTTGTGGTTTGGTGTTTTTGACCTACGCGCAAGCTGTGCATCACCTGGCGATCCACAAGAACGACAAAGATCGGCTCCGGTGTGAGGTTTGCGAGAAACCGTTTTGGCGAGAATTTGACCTTAATCTTCATATGCGAGAATTCCACGGCATCGACGTTCCAACGCACGAGTGTCCGGTCTGTGGAGAACGTTTCGGAAAGTATGTTGCCTTAGTTATTTCAATTTAAAATTCCTAATAAAGGTTGTACGCTTACAGAAAAATCGATTTGCTGGAGCACCGAGCCACGCACACGAAATGCAAATTTTGCGCCAAGAAGTTCAAAACCTATCGAACCATGCTGGATCACATGAAGAAAGAGCACCGCGAGGGGCTGATTCCGTGCGATATCTGTAAGACAGTATTTCTTGGCTCCAGAGAGCTTGAAATGCACGCCAGAAGACATCGCGATGGAAGGATGGAGAACAGCATTCAATTCTCTCTGAAAAATTGGACCGTAGCGCAGTGTAATACCTGCGAAAGAGATTTTTATAATCACGAATATAGGAGAATTCACATAGAAAATGATCATAAGGAAGGTCTCTCAGAAAAGCCAATCAGAATTACGAACTATAAAAGGCGCACCGAAGAGGAGTTGGCTCGGTTGGAGTACACATTCCAATGCGACGATTGCCCTGCGCGGTTTCGGTTGAAGACTTCTCTGAAGGGTCACTGGAGGAAGAACCACAGCGGACAGAAGTTTATCTGCGAGCACTGTGGGGCGTGTTTCAAGGGGAGAACCGAGATGAACAGGCATGCTCAGTATATGCACACCAAGGACACGCCATTTTCGTGTGAATTTTGCGATAAGCGCTGCATCACCAAAAACGATCTGAAGATCCACAGGAGAAGCCATACAAACGAGAAACCGTACAAATGTTGGTTCGAAGGGTGCGATAAGGCATACAAAACGCGATCGGAAGTGACGACACACTTCCGGGTGCATACGGGCGAGAGGCCGTATAAATGTGCATACGAGGGCTGCGACAAGTCGTACTCGTATAGCCAACAGCTGAAGATACACAATCGCTACCATACACTAGAGAAACCGTTCAAATGTTGGTACTGCGAATTGTACTTCAATTCGACCAATAACCGACGAAAGCACTGTCGGCGGCACCACGTCGGAATGCCGATAGGAAGGGAACTGGAAAGGTTGAATCAGCAGCCGAATGCTACGGGAAGCAGCGTTAATGAAGAGCCGATGGAGGTTGCAGAGAGTTCGGAAGAGAGTCGGGTTGTTGAGCCGGTTAAAATTGAAATGAAGGATTGACGGTTGAGGAAAAAATATCAAAGGGATGGCTGTAGGTGGAAATAAATGGTGGAAGATTGAGTGGACAAAATCTGCTTTTTGAATTATTTCGAAATCTGCATAACTTGTAAATTGAAAGAAGGTTGGACTAGACAACAAATGTTCAAGCATTTTACCATCAGTTACTCTCCACCAAATTTTATAACATAACTTCAGCTTTCTTCACAACTAAATGAAACAAAAAATCTAAGGGTATGTTCATCAAGAAAATCAACATGGATTTAGGTTACTTTTTCTCTCAGTGTATTTTTTTTCTTAAAGTTCGTTTACGTTTAAGGCCTGTATAGAGATCGAAGCGAAGCGAAAACCTCATACAAAATACTAAATTTTTCACCAGCGTGAAAAACGCAATAGAGTTCTCCAGATGTACAAAAGTGTGCGTGAGACCGCGCGCTACCTTTTTAAGTAGTTGTGATATCGCGATACCTTTTTTGTTATTATTCTTCTTCATTTTTATATATGGATGTTGAATTTGAGTGTTCGTGAGATTGCGCTTGGAGATCTCTATTGGCAAATTTTTCACTTCGCTTTGAACTGTAAAGGCCTGTATAGAGATCGAAGCGAAGCGAAAAATTCATACAAAATACTAAATTTTTCACCTGCGTGAAAAACGCAATTGGCAAATATTTCGCTTCGCTTTGAACTGTAAACAGATGCGATCCAGCGAAATCTTATTTGGTGGATCGTATCTTTTTCGCTTACGTTCATTTTTTTTCGCGCATGCAGCGCTAGCGAAAAGAGCAGCAGGTAAGCGAAAAGTTGACATTTCGAGAAAGAGCGTATCTGTCAGATTTTCACTTCACCGGAGGTGTAAACTGACCGATTTCGTTTCACATGAACTGTAAACTGCGAAAAAAGGAAACTGGAAAATGTTCCACAAACATTTTTTCACAACCTTTTTCGCTAGCGAAATTTCATGATTTTTCGCGTGCTTCAATTTTCGTTTCGCTTCGATCTGTATACTAGGCTTAAGAATCAAACCAGATCAGTCAAAACTGAACCTACCCAAAAATGGGTAAACTATGTTTGGAGTCACAAGTTGACAAAGGGGCAACATCGACATGAATCCGATCGACGTTGTTCATTTTTTGTTTAATTTAATTTTTCTGTGATTATAATATAAGTCCAAAGATCCATCTCCAATGAGCTGAAAACTTATTTAAACAAATCAAATCAATAGATTCAACCAGGGCGAAAGTATTTCAATTACTACGATGTATTTTAAATATCACGCACTCATAACTGGCAGAGACGATGTCTAATAAGAGACGCGTGAAGACTGAAGCCAAACGTTCCAATCGACCCGTTAAACGCGGTTCCAATCGAGCAATGTAAACACACGAACGCTTCACGATGAAAAGCGTGAGGAGTATTTAGATGCCGGTGGAAATTTAATTTTTGAGATTTAAATAATTATAGAGGAAATGGATGTAATGTCGGCCTAAATGCCCCTAATTTGGGCCCATACATAAATTCAGCAATCGACTACATTTTCAATAGCGAAAAATATCCATTAGTACGGTCCCAATGACGCGTTCATCTAGATAAAATTGATAAATAGCAGATTTTCAGCGATGGGCCCAATATTAGATCCATAAGCCAACATTAGAGTAATTTCCCCTAATTAAGTTTTCCTAATAAAAAATACCATAAACCCAAATTATTGAACTATTCTACAAACAAGGCAACATATGCATAACAATTTTATTATGGTTGCGTATGAAAAGTGCAATTTGATACTATTTGATTTTTGGAATACAAATAAAACACAAGTAAAATCTTTTAAGATTACTTGTTATTTACATCAATGCCAAAAAGCAAATATTTACTTAAAAAAATACAGGGCTGTTACTAGATTTTCTAAATTTGATCCGCGAAATCTGCGATTTCTCAAAATAAATCCACGACTTCAAACACTAATCCGTCACCAACCCGAAACATTAATAGACCGGACGGGAATCGAACTTAGTCGCCTCCAGTATGGACTTGCTTTGTAGCTGCGCCTTTACCGACTGAGCTAAAGGAGTATCGTTTGTAACCTTTGATTTTTTTTAAATAACATTGTATCAACTTTAGTTGTTTATGTATAGTATAAATTCTGAGTAATTAGTGAACATAATAAAACACACTTACATCATGAGATTCTATTGAAAAATACCAGCCTAGATTTGATGAAACATTATTTAAAAAAAATAATGCATTTTCATTTGAAATGCAAGTTTTATTTGAAAATTAACCTTTGCGTCTCTCACGTATTTTGCTGTCCTAAATGTAGTTAATTTGGTTCTAGTTTTCTCTTTTTTACCGATTCAAACCAAACACCCTGCACATTATCGACAAATTACCAGAGTTTCCTAAGTCACACTTGTTGGTCACGTCGCGATTGTGTATTTACACGGATATTCCCTTGGGATCTGTCCAATGGTGAGACAATTTCATATTTTTTTTTTTAATTTCTAATATGAACCTAGCACTTTTTGTTGTTAAATCATAACCGAATCGTATATATGTGACTTTGTGGATCATGCACGACTGATTACTATGTATACCGGAAATTATTAAAGCCCTACAGTAAAAGCACAAACGAAGTGACAGACGACTAACTGGCGAAGAAATCAATTAAAATAATGTGGTTCGCTGTAATAGAATTTTCTTAGAAGCTTGTGCCATCATCCACCAGATGGGATAGTATTTTTGTTTTGGTTTTGCTCAAAGTTGATTTTGTGTACAATGATTCTTTGACAGTGTGCAAAGAGTGCGTATCATTTTATCATTTTTTAATGCGTTTCAGTTTTGAGTAGAGTGAAAGAGATAGAACCAAAACATTCTAGTACATTTGGTGAAAATGCTAGTTCAATCTAGTAGTAGCAACAATCAATACGAAACTAACGATTTTAAATTGGCTCACGACTTTAGTAGCCTATTGGTCCCAAGCAAACGATTAACGTACCCTATTCTTGTCGATATTCTAGTACTACGCAATGTTTGTTTTGATTCGCTATGAAAGTTTGACAGATAAAATGAGGGGTTATTGGTTTTTCCTATGTTTCGAGGGGTGAATCGATTAGCTTGGGACCGAAGAGAGTACCAGAGCTGAGCCAAAAAGTTGAGCACGTTATTTCGGGACCTTCTAGTCTTAGAGTTACCTCTATGGTAGTAGTGTTGCCATGTGGTACAATCCAGTAGTAGTGGTGTTGCCATGTGGTACACTGAAAAATTGCAATAGCAGGTTAGTCACCAAAGTTTTCGAGCCGCTCCGTCTGTCACTTCGTTTGTGGTAAAAGTATGGACGACTGTCACCACAAAACTGAAAAAAGCTGTTCCAATCGAGCAAAGCGGTGCATTTTGACGGTTCGATTGGAACAACTTTTGACAGACGTCCATACTTTTACTGTAGGGCTTTAGAAATTATAGGTTTTTCGAATCGTCCAGCACATCAGTTGATTTAGTTCTACTAGGTCGGGTACAATCCACATAGACACTTTGAATCTGTTTGGACATATTTCGATACTACAGACATTATTGCAGTCTTGGCTCGAGTCTTGGTTGATCTAGTGGAACAAATCAACTGAACTGAAATTACTCGCATATTTACGATTCGTTTCTGATTTGACAACGAAAAATGCTATGTTCATATTGAAAAAAAAGGAAACTGTCTCACATTGGGGAATTGGGTTGTAACCGTTCACGAATTTTCTTTGAGGTTTTCGCACAGAGAACAGACATGGAGGCTCGAACAAAATTTCTCTAAAAAATTGCGGCGACGTTCCCACTTATTTTACACAAGTTTTTGACCGAAATTGAACGTCTGTTCTCTGTGGTTTTCGTAAAACTCAGTGGCTTAAGCGCCACTCTCGATTAGGAGAGACCACTGGTCATGTTCGAATTTTGCCCGATTTATGAGACCTTATCTCAGAGAACCTCTTGAACGGTTTCCGATTACTAATGGCACAACTAATTTTATCAAAAGTAAAACGCCAAGTCCTGTAGAACCGCAGATATTATCAGAACGAAAGAGTTACTCTGACTTACCACAGAGAAAAGACATGGAGGCTCGAACAAAATTTCTCTAAAAACTTGTGTAAAGATTCCTAAAAACCCTCTTTGACAACATGATGGCACTGGCGTTGCACAAATTACACTAGACACTAAGGCCGTTCGCAATGCTGAGTTTCAAAATTGTTTTAAACTACTCGTCAATTCTATAATTTGAAACTGTCAAAAATAAAACTGCAACACGATCAGCGCAACGCACAGTTCTAAAAGATGTTTGTAATCATCAAGTTCCATAAACTTTACTGTTCTCTATGAAATTCTCCGTTTTTATTTGTGAAGCTCTCGAAACATCTCTAACACATCCAAAGAAATTTGAAACAGAGTTCCAATCGTGTTTCAAACTCGCTCAGAAATAAAACAGAATAGTCGAGCAGTTGCAAATCTGGTGCAAAATAGTGCTCGAATAATGAAACTGCAACTCAGCATTGCGAGAGGTGAGTTTCTGTTCTAGTTTCGAATTGAAACAGTCCGTATAAAATACAACAGCATTGCGAACGGCCTAAGGCCGTTCGCAATGCTGAGTTTCAAAATTGTTTTAAACTACTCGTCAATTCTATAATTTGAAACTGTCAAAAATAAAACTGCAACACGATCAGCGCAACGCACAGTTCTAAAAGATGTTTGTAATCATCAAGTTCCATAAACTTTACTGTTCTCTATGAAATTCTCCGTTTTTATTTGTGAAGCTCTCGAAACATCTCTAACACATCCAAAGAAATTTGAAACAGAGTTCCAATCGTGTTTCAAACTCGCTCAGAAATAAAACAGAATAGTCGAGCAGTTGCAAATCTGGTGCAAAATAGTGCTCGAATAATGAAACTGCAACTCAGCATTGCGAGAGGTGAGTTTCTGTTCTAGTTTCGAATTGAAACAGTCCGTATAAAATACAACAGCATTGCGAACGGCCTAAGTGCTAGTAGCGCCAAGTGGCAATTTTCAACAGAAAATTTATCGATAC